CGCGCCGGTCTGCTCTGCTCCGCGCTGTGCCAGCGGGCGGGCTAGCTTGCGGCTTCGGTGCTGACGTCAGCGCATCCCGGGCCGTATCCCGGGAGACCCTGTTGCATGGTGATGGGTTGCCAGGGAGACATACACCTTTTCTCTGGGCCTGGGCCGCAGCTGCGCGGAGAGCCAGCACGGATGGCGGCGGTGGCTGGGGGGAGCAGGAGCAGGGAGGGACAGCAAGACAGGAAACACCCCGAAGGTGCTCCTCCCCGCAGGCCTGGCCAGAGGGCTCTGTCAGCCAGGTACTAATAGGGAAGGACAGAGGGTGGGCCTGAGGCCAGGAAGCTGGTGGAGGCTGCTCTGGCGCTGCTGGGTGGGAACTGACAGAGGGCAGCTAGGCTATGCTGAGGAGGGGGTGTGCCTCATTCATGGAAGGAAACATTGCTGGGAGCCTGTCTAGGAGCCAGGCTCAGGGTGGAGTTAGGAACACAGGCGCACCGGATTTAGGCCCTCACATCCACAGCTCCCTCAGGAGCCCGGAAAGGACGTGGGGGCAGGGGCATGGGGGAGGGAAAGGAAGGGGGAGGGAAAGCATTATTAGGAAGTGGCATTCAGAGACGACCTGAAATGGTAGGGAGCGTTTTGTCAGGCACGGATGGTCTTCTTGGCTAAGAGGAAAGCTGGGTTCCTTTTCTGGGAGGAAGGGGAAGGTGAGATGGGGGTGGTATTGGTGGTAAATTACAAGGTCTGCTCTGGATGAGGCGGGGGGGGGCGGTGTCACACAATGGGGCCCTTGAGGGCCTGGGTGTAAAGCTTGCATTAATGTCATAGGACAGGAAAGATTTTAAGTAGAGACATGCTGTGGCCAGCTGCGCTCCAGGAAAACTGTTTACATTTATACCGTGTCTCATTCATTCCGCCCATGCATTTTGAGAGATTACTCTGTATTAGGCATCATGCTGAACACGGGTGCAGCAGTGACCACAAACTGAAACCCTCAGTGAGAGAGTCTGACAAAGGGAAACATAATTACATCCTGCGAGTAAGGCCACAAACAGGTACACTGATGTGGGACAGTGATTTGGTGGAGACTACAGAGGGAGAACAGACCGCTGGCAGGATGGCCTGGAAGACTTCTCTGAGGGGCTGATATTCAGCCCAGCCTGCAAGGATGAGAGAATCAGCCAGCCATGGGGGAGACAGAGGAAGAGAGAGGAAACCCATATACATTTGGGGCTAAGAAAATAGCAGGAAGCTGGGCGTGGTGGCACACACCTATAATCTCAGTACTCGGAGACCAAGGCAGAAGGGTCCGCCACAAGTTTGTAAGCCATCCTGGGCTATGTAGTGAGTTCAGGGCTGGCCTAAGCTACATAGACTTCATCTAGAATAAATGAATGAATGAATGATAAATAAATGCAAGTCAGTAAGAGCTGAAGGAGGTTGGAGAAACATGATTTGTGCTAACCTGGGCAGGGGGCGTTGAGGGCAGTGGTAGTGGGAGCACAAGGGGCGAGGAGGTGTCAGAAGAGTCCCTAGGACTTCACAACAGATACAGAGAAGGAGAAGATACGGGCAGGAGAAGCTTAGGGGCCAGGTGATGGGGATGCTGAGGTTTGGAGCCAGGCGGAACGGGAGAACAGGGAGGTGATGTAAATAAAGGAAGTCAGGAAGCGGGGCAGATGTGGCAAGGAGGAGTTGGTTGGATGTTGGGTCCTAGTTTGTGGCTAGGGACAGCTGGAATGTGGATCTGAAGATGGGAGGAAAGCGAGGGGGAGAGGACCTTAGGGAAGTCAGTCCCTAATATCGGACCTTGGTCCCTGCTTCCTCTTCCCTCTTCCCCACTCCCTGACGTCTCACCTCCTGGCGGCCTGCCGTCCATCGGGGGACTGGGAAGGTGGAGGGTTGGCTCCACCACTCCTCCCTTGGGCCTGCTGGAGTGCTTCCTGCCAGGGCACTTTGCTGGTATAGCTTCTTTTAAAAATTTTTTAACTTTTGGGAACGGCTTCTCATCCTTCTATGCGTGCCGGCAGCACTGGGGCTTGTGTGCTTCCCAGGCCTTCTGCCCAGCTGCTGTGTCCCCTCGTACCCTGGGTGGACATGTTGGAGGGCAGGTCATTGCTGTCGGGGGGGCGCTCACCTTCTGAACGTGTCACTCAAGGTGAATGTTGGAGACACAGTCGCGATGCTGCCCAAGTCCCGGAGAGCCCTAACCATCCAGGAGATTGCCGCGCTGGCCAGATCTTCCTTGCATGGTACGCACCCACCTCTTGTGCCTCTGGCCACTTTGTTCCTTCTCCTCCCTTTTGCACTTGTCTTTTGGAACTGTTTCTTGTGAGTGCTTGCTGGGACCACCTCCTCCCCATTCAGAGGTCCACATGGATCCTAACTGTGGCTGCCTTCTGCTTCCTGGTCCATTCCCTCATCGGGCGCCTCCTCTTTCCCCTGCTTCTAGGTATTTCCCAGGTGGTAAAGGACCACGTGACCAAGCCCACGGCCATGGCCCAGGGCCGCGTGGCTCACCTCATTGAGTGGAAGGGCTGGAGCAAGCCCAGTGACTCACCTGCTGCCCTGGAATCAGCCTTTTCCTCCTATTCGGACCTCAGTGAGGGTGAACAAGAGGCTCGCTTTGCAGCAGGTGGGTTCACAAACGGGGTCAGACACAGGCTGCTGCTGCCTCTGATCTCACCAGTCCGTTAGGAGTGGATTCTTTCCCTCCCTCTGCAGCTGAGCCCTTGTCTTAGCTCAGCAGCTCTGTTCATGAATCTGCATCCCCTCAACAGGAGTGGCCGAACAGTTTGCTATTGCAGAAGCCAAGCTCCGAGCATGGTCTTCAGTGGATGGCGATGACTCCACTGATGACTCCTATGACGAGGACTTTGCTGGGGGCGCTGACCCAGGTGAGGGGCATTCTGGGGTAGAGCTGTCCCCTGGAGTGGACCTGCCTAATGGTTCAGAGACTCAGAGCCACTCCCAGACACCCCCAGCCTTTGGAAAGGGAGGGGAGAGGGCAGACTGTCCTCCAGACTTGGACATGCTGGTGGTGCATATGGTCGGGCACACGAGTGGGAGGAAGTCAGCAGTTGAAATGGAGTGTGTAGCTCCTCTCCTGCAGGTGCTGAGCCTTTGTCCATGTATGCATGGCCTTGCAGTCTTCAAGAAAGGTGGGGGCTCTCCCCACAAGCCATGTCTCTGGGGGGGCCGCAGTGCCCTTGCCTTTCCCCCAGTGGCTGTGGCAGTGCAGTGCAGCAGCAAAGCCCCTCACAGGGCACCAGCCCCAGGCAAACAGGAAGGCGTGCTGGGCCCGGCTCCCCCAGGCCGCGAGCCAGCTCAGCATCCACGCATTCCAGACTGTGGGCCCTTCCAGGGGCAGTGCTTGCCGAGGGGACCCAGCGGGGCTATGCAGCTGTGCGCGGCTCTTTCATCTTCCCTTGCCTGGACTGTTCAGCTGAGTCTCTGCAGCTTCTGGGTTCCAGCCTCAGGACGCCCGCGCCCCACCTCGTTGCCTTTGAAGATTGCCTGCATTAGGTCCCCACTCCTCAGCTAATTAACGAGTCCTCAGACACTAGAGACGCCCAGAGACTGCTACTGTGGTCCAGAGGGTACTGATTTGGGTGCCTCAGACTTGGAACCCTAGCCACAAGCACTTTTGTTTGATTGAGTTCCAGACCTGCTTGGGCCCTGGGATAATAACATTTATCCAAGGTTGCTGCTAGCCCACGTGGAACCTTGGAGCAGTTTTAAAAAGAGCCCCCTCGTTGGGAGGGCTCATGCTGCTTGGTGAGCACAGTGTGGGCCGCACGGGGGTCCTCACTCCCTCTCTGCTTTGTGTGAGTGGCCTGCAGGGCCCTATGCCGTGGCCCTGCACTGCCTGCCTGCTCCCTTTGTCCACACTTTTGTTCTCTCCATAGCCCCACAGGGTGGGTATGATTAGGTTCCCTAACTCACCCGGAGGGAAATAAGGCAGCCAGAGTTGGGGCTCGTCCAGAGCTCCCCAGCTCCTAAGCCCCTATTCCCAGAGCGTGGCAAGGATGGAGGGGGCCGGAGTGCGTGGCTTCCAGGTTGGCCAGCTGAAATGGGGCCAGCAGAGCTGTCTTCTCTCCTCTCCCCCTCAGACTTGGCTGGGCAGCTGCCGTTGGGGCCCCACCTCCAGGACCTCTTCACCAGCCGCCGATTCTCCCGGCCCGTGCGCCAGGGCTCCGTGGAGCCTGAGAGCGACTGCTCACAGACCGTGTCCCCGGACACCCTGTGCTCTAGTCTGTGCAGCCTGGAGGACGGGTTGCTGGGCTCCCCTGCCCGCCTGACCTCCCAGCTGCTGGGCGACGAGCTGCTCCTCGCCAAACTGCCCCCCAGCCGGGAATGTGCCTTCCGCAGCCTGGGTCCGCTGGAGGCCCAGGACTCACTCTACAACTCGCCCCTCACAGAGTCCTGCCTTTCCCCTGCTGAGGAGGAGCCGGACCCTTGCAAGGACTGCCAGCCGCTCTGCCCACTGCCAGAGGGCAGCTGGGAGAGGCAGCGGCAAGCCTCTGACGTGGCCTCTTCTGGGGTGGTGTCTTTAGATGAGGACGAGGTGGAGCCGGAGGAACAGTGACCTGCGTCCTGCCTGCCGGAGGCACGCGTCCCCTGGCTGCTGCTGGGGGTGAAGCCGCCTGCCCAGGTGTGGGCTCAAGGCTCACAGCAAGCTCCACAGCTCGAGGGCTCCTGGGAGCACTCACTTCTCCGTTGTGTGTTTTGCATGAAAGTGTTTGGAGAGGGGGCAGAGGCTGGGCTGGGGGCGCATGTCCTGCCCCCACTCCTGGGGCTTGCCGGGGGTTGCCCGGGGCCTCCGGAGCATGGCTGCAGCTGTGGCAGACAGTGATGTTCATGTTCTTCAGTCCAAAACCTGCCACATCTCCTCCTCAGAGGACGAGAGCCCCGAGGGGGTCCTCGTGACTGGGCCGTGGGGGTGAAGAGGGCGGGAGCCTGGCCGCCTCTTCCCCTCCCAACACCTCTGCTTCTCTCCTCACCTGAGTCCATGTGCAGTGCTTGATAGAAAACCTGCCCCTGGGGGGCTGGCTCCTGCCTGCCCGGAGCCCACCGATCGAGCCGTCCTCCCAGGGCCCCTGCCCAGCTGGGCTCGTGCTGTGCTGCTCCTCTCCATCGTCTCTAAATCTTCTTCTTTTTTCCTGAAGACATAGGGTTTCTGGTCTGTTCTTTCAGTCGGATCTTCTCTAGGAGGAACTGGAATGAGGAATGTTTCCGGGGGCCTCTGGGGATGTGTGGGCCCCGCAGAGTTCTTCAGGGTGGGGCCGCGGCGCTGGAGGGCAGGCGGGCAGCCACCAGCTTCTCCGCAGCTGCGGCTTTGATGTTCTACAGGGGGCCACCGCTGGGTGGTGGGAAGTTGTCAGCCACGCCTGTGCCAGGCCAGAATTGTGCCAACGAGTGGTCCTGAGGGAGTGCCTCTCCGCTCCCGGGAGGAAGCGCCTTTCTTGGCTGTGGCTACGGCAGTGTTAATGACTGAGCGGTGGAGGTTTCTAGCACCTTCTGCACTGGGAGGACGTGGGACTCTAGATTCGTGTGGCTGTGGGAAGGGTAGGCGGCTGCAGAATTAGGAGCCTTATAGGCTGTGGAAGGTAAGAGGACCCAAGGTAAGAATAAGAGCCAGCGGGTACAAGCATTCTATAGATAAGTGGCTCATTAGGTGTTTATTTTGTTCTATTTCAGACTTTGTTTTATTAAATTAATATAAAAATCTTTGTAAATCTCTATATACATCTGGTCACTTGAGGTTCCAGTATAAATCCATCTTAGTTCTGCCCCTTCCCCCTCAGAGAGGGAGCAGGGGCCGCACGAACCCGCCCGTCCCCATCCCGCCGGGGCCTTGGAGAACTTCTGGGCCTTGGAAACTGCTGCGGGGGTGGGTCAGACTCCAGGAAGGCTGGACTGGGAGAAGCCAGCACCCCAGGTCTGGGTGGAAAGCCGGGGCTCCAGCCTCTGGCTGTAGCTGCTTCCTGCTTTCCCGAGGCGGAAGGGATGTGGCTACCACCATCCAAGGCCACCCACCAAGGGGTTCACTGGCACTTGTCGTCGCTGTCAGAAGGGCTGCCGTCTCGGGGTAGCCTGTGGCAGGAGCGGGGCCCCCAGAGTGCGTGCACCTCTGTGGTCTCCGTGTCACTGCTGCTGGTGGCACTGTCTCGGAAGCTGGCAAGGGGTGGCCGGACTTTCACACCCTGGGCTGTGACAGAGCCCTCAATAGCCTTCCGGAGCTGGAGAGGGGCGAGGGTCAGATGTCTGGACTCAGCTCCCTACCCATCCTCCTCCCCTGGACTTCCCCCAGGAGGACTGGACATAAGCTCCCCCCACTCTCTGGATGCGGAAGTGGCTTTGGCGGCCACTGTCACCTCACCTCCTTTAGGGTGACGATTCCAATGAGCCTGCCAATGCTGGTGACATAAGCATGGTCCACTCCCAGGAGCGAGAAGATGGTGTGAGTCTGCGGGGCAGGGAGGAAGCATCAGACCTGATGTTCCGGGGACAGCTCTGAATCACAGGGCAGCGGTGTCTGGGACGAGGTGGGGGTGGGACAGAAGGGGTGGCGCAGACGGTGAGGGGAGGACAGGGCTGCCGGAGGAGAGTAGTAGAATGGCTTTGGGAACTTGGCTGAAATCCTGACGTTGCCTGTGGTAAGGGTCACCCTCGTTCTCCTGTTTTTCTTGTTTGGAACACTTTCAGGCTTTCAGATGTAACCAAGGGTTTAGAAATTGTCCGACAATTCCCTTTGTGCGTAAGTGGATTTTCTTAGGCCAGATGCCTTGAAAACGGCTCTCCTGACTCGGCAGTTCCTGGAATTTGGGCCTTGCGTTTATCTCACTAGGCCCGGTTTACTTGTAAGCCTCTTGGCTTAATGTTGAATCAAGATGGGCAGTGATAACCCAGCTTTTGAATTCTAATTACTCAGAGCTCATTTAAATTGACTTAACACTTTCTTTTTGGGCAGTAGTGGGGACTGAACCCAGGGAATGCCGAGCTACAACCCCAGCTCCTTTTTCTTTTAAGACAGGGTCTCAATATGTGGCCTAAGCTGGCTTCTAACGAGATCCACTGCCCTTAGCCCTAGAGGCTCCGTGTTACCATGCCATGCCCTGCTTTTTATTTTTTTATTTTTTGGTACGGGGGATCGAACTCAGGTCCTTGTGCCTGTGAGGTGGGCGGTAGAACCACTGAGCTAAATCTCTGGCCCTCTTTTTCTTTTTTGAGAGTCTTGTTATGTAGTCCAAGCAGGCTTTGAACTTGTGATGATTCTCCTGCCTCAGCCTCCTGAGAGCTGGGATTATAGTCTTGTGCCACCATGCCCAGCTTTTGCCTTCTCTTTTTTGGTTTGTTTTTGGTACCGGGGATTGAACTCGGGTCCTTGCGCTTACAAGGCAGGCCACCAAACCGCTGAGCTAAATCCCAAGCCTCTTGTTTTTTTAAGACAGGGTCTCACTATGTAGTTGAGACTGACCTGGAAGTCACTATGTAGCCCAGGCTGGTCTTGAACTCATAGTGATCCTCCTGCCTCAGCCTCCCGAGTGCTGCGATTACAGGAGTGCGCCCCTATGCCCGGCTCGCCTTCTCTTCTTACAGTCAAATTATCTCTCCCATCTTCTCCCACGGATCTTATTAAATAGGCCCTTTGGATTTCCTTTTCTCTAAGTCTTAATCCAGGTGAGCTTCTGCCAGGTGCAGTGTCTTTTAGGGTTGCGTCAGTGGTGGTGACCACGCTCCCCAGTATACTTCCTGAACATCCTGGCCTTTGCCTGACTCAGCCTCACCTCCCTCACCACCGGGCCTGGGCCCCAGCAGCAGAATGGAGTTCCCCACTTTCTGCCTCTGTCCATCTTGGCTGCTGTCCCGTGTGCCCAGACTCCCTACAGTAGCCCCAGGCCCTTCTCAAGGTGCCCCAGCTTGGCTTTTTAGCCCCAGAGGCAGCCCTGCACTCCAGCTTCCACACTCACATCGTTACCTCTTCTGGAAATACTCATTGCTTCCACATTTTGACTCTGCCTCACTGTGCTTTTATGTATTTTGTTTGGAGATGTGGTCTGTGTAGTTGAGAATGACCTGGAAGTCACTATGTAGTCCAGGCTGGTCTCGAACTCACAACGATCCTCCTGCCTCAGCCTCCCGAGTGCTGGGATTACAAGTGTGCGCCACCACACCCGGCACTGTGCCGTCTTTTAAAGTCCCCACTGTCCATGAATGTCCCAGATCCTTATTTTGGGCCTGGCCCTACTGTAAGTGCTTCCTGTGTCTTAACTCCTTTGGTCTTTAGGAGACCAGGTGGGACACATTCCCCGGCTGACAGATGAGTGAAGCACACGGAGGCCAAGAGGTTTACCTGGGTCACCCTGCTACCTCACTGTGCTCCCAGGATTCTTTCAGAAGGCCACCTGGGAGGCAGAGTGAGGCTTTGTGGTCTCTCCAGCTCTACTCTCTGCCTCCCCACAGGTGACCCTGATGAGTGAGGTCCCTGGAAGCACAGGTTCTGAAATAGTCTCCACTGTGTTCTCTCTCCCTCTACACTTAATTGGACTACTACTTACTGATTTCTCCGGCCTGGAGGGACATTCTGAATTCTGATCTTTCCTGTTCTTATCATTCCAGTTCTTTGTACTTTTGTGAGTCGTTTCCTCAAAGGCTTCTTCTCTTCTTTGATTTTTAAGTTTGTAACAAACACCTACTTTGTTCTTTTTTGTTGTAATTTAATTAGACACCAGGGAGCTCACTGGAGGGCCACTTCTTGGGCTTGGGAACAGTGAACTAGCAGGGTAGGGGACAACGTGGCCTTCTGAAAGAATCCTGGGAGCAGGGCCAGGAGATCTGGGTTCTGGGCTGGCCTGCTGGAAACTGACTCAGGCAAATGAACTTTTCCTTGTGTGCCTCGGTTTTCCTATGTACTAAAGTGGTTAAGACCACAGGTTTTTGAGTTAGTCCATCTTGGATTGGCCCAGTTGTTACTTCCTGGCTGTGTGATCTTGAGAAACTTGCTTAACCTCTCTGATTTTCAGTTTCTTCTATAAAAATTGGAATACCACAATATCTATTTTATAGTGTTACTGACAGGCTTACATTACATGTGAAGAGATTAGCACAGTGCCTGGCACACAGCAAGCAAGCACTAAAAAATGTCAGCATTGCCATCATCATTTTGGATGTCTGAGGATTTAGACATTGTGAAAATGCTCTAGAGGGTTTGAGAAAGAAAGTCTTTAGCTAAAAGCCTAATTTACTATACTTGGACCTATCTCCTTTTCATTACAATTGTAGTCTTGTTCTCCACTCACTTTGGCTTGTTTTTCTCTTTGATGGTACTGGAGACTGAACCCAGGAAGCACTGAGCTATATCCCTAGCCCTCCTTGTTTAGTATTTCGGGGTTGTTTTTGAGACAAGGTCCCGCTATGTAGCCCAGGCTGGCCTCCCAACTTGCAGTGATCCTCTTGCCTCAGCCTTCCGAGTGCTGGACTCGCAGGTGTGGCCAGGTCTGGCCTCTAGTATTTTGAGACAGGGTCTTGCTAAGTTGCCTAGGTTGGCCTCAAACTTGTGATCCTCCTGCCTCAGCCTCCACAATTAGCTGGGACTACAGGTGTGTGCACTGGCTTCCTGCTCACTCTGATCTGACGGATTTAGCTAAAGGCTAGCAAGCTCCTTTACTGCCGTTTGCTTTTGTGTTTCTCTTCTGTCTCCTGTCCTTCCTGCTCTGACCTCTGCTTGTGAATGCTATGCTGGCTCTTGGGCACGACCACCCAAGCTGTAGGCCTTGGGCGTATTCATCCCTGCCTGTCCCCTCATCCCGTGTCCCTTGTCCCCGAGACAGGCTTACACATTAAGCCTGTCAATTGAGCTAAATGCTGGGATGCAGCTCAGTGGTATGTGCCTGCGTATCATGCTCAAGGCCTGGGTTTGAGCCCCCGTATGGGGGTGGGTGGGTGAACTACTTGCTTTTGCAGAGTGCACCGTATCCCCTGCCCATACTCAAAGCCTGAAGGTAGGTGCCTGACAGCGATCCTGTCGCTGGGAGCCTCAGAAGCTGGGCTCCCCAGAGAGCCCCGCCTTCCCGTTGTCTGCCTCACCTGCCAGGGACCAGCCCACACTCAATTCCTCTCCCCGCTTCTGCAGCCAGTTTGCCTTTCTGCTGAGCTGTCTTCCTGAATGCTCCCCAGTTTTCCTCTGGCCCACATTAAGTCGAGGTTCTGAGGTCTGACATTCCAAGCCCCCCACAGGGTGTTTCTCATCTTTGTTTATCTCTTCTCTGCAGTCTCCTCACCCCTACGAGGCTGTTTGTTGGCTCGTTTGTTAGATTTGGTTACCCCGCCCACCCGTTTCTCACCCATTTTTTTTTCAGCGTGGGTGTATCAGCCTTGCTGGGCTCTGACCCTGGCTTGGCCTTCTGGCTTCCACCCAGTTCAAGCCCTGCCTTTGTTACTGCTTTGGTCCACAGTTCCCTGGGGGTGGGGGTGAGGCTGAGTGGATGGAAAATGATGCCTGGCTCCACCACAGAACAGGACAAGGCTGAGGGGCACCAGCTTCCAGCCTCCCCTTGTCCTGGGCAGTCTGTCTGAAAAGCACCTTAGCACTGAGCCTCCTGACTGGCCTGGCTCCTAACTGCAGGTGGCACAGGGAGGAGAGACCCCGACCCTCCCTCGGCCAGGCTGGCCAGTGACTCTA